TGCAGCTACAATACACGTAGGTGGTTTTGAAATATTTTTTATGTCGATATAAAGTGGTTGCATATTGTTAAAACTAATTGTGTTAGCGATATCTTTGTAGGACTGTTGACTCTATAGAACAGTGGCAAAGGAAAGCGCAGGTCTGGCGAATATCGAACCTAAAACTAATTTTACGGTGCTAGAAAAGCGATTATAAAGAAAACGCAGAGCATTGCGTTCTTCTGACCTCATCTGCTTGCCGGTATAGTTTGCATCATCAATAAGGTGTATACTGAGATCTTAGGTCTTTTTTATATAATTTCATTTAATTTCATATCAGTTCACTGAGGCGTGTTAAGTATTGTTGGGGAATCCTGGAGTCTAACATAAGAGGGAAACCCCAGTATTATAAGGCAGCCTCACACAAGCCATGACATACAGATTTCTGGCATGAAACTCTAGATGGCGCCGTCCGATAGGTCTAACTCAGGGGTAGGCAAGTTGGGTCCTAGAGAGCCGCGGTCCTGCAAAGTTTAGCTCCAACCCTGAAAACAAAACTCACCTGCCTATAGCCTTAGTAATCCTGAAGACATTGATTAGCTTGTTCAGGTGTGTTTGATTAGGGTTGGAGCTGAACTCTGCAGGACTGCGGCTCTCTAGGACCGAACTTAGCTACCTCTGGTCTAACTCAATCTGACCTAATGACATCATTATCATATGGCACAGTTAAATGAAATAAGCATTCTTGTGTATACATTTCAACGGGGGTTCGCCATATAATGTACATCAGCGATTATCCCAGTGTTCATGTTCATTATTTCTAAGGTCGATGTTTTCATTGTGATGAGTGTGTGGTTGATTTCAGTTGCACGCACTTATCGCAGTCATATTAATGACATTGTTGCGGGAGACGCTGAAGATCACTATCTACGGCTGTAACAGTTAGTTCCGAGCAGTGTTAATTTTGACAGCAAATTTTGATTTAGTTTTAGTCATAGTCTTTGACTAAAATGCCATTTAGTTTGTCATATTTTAGTCATCTGAATTGTTTTTAGTTTTAGTCGACTAAATATCATACGATTTTAGTCAACTAAATCTACAGTAAATTTAGTCGGCTAAAATCAAATGGGTTTAGTTACAGTGCATTTATTAAGCATTTCTCTAAAATTTCCAAACTCATTATATAGGTTTGATATTAAGGTTTTATCATGATAGGCACCGATTTAACTGCGGTGACGCACAACCTTTAAGTTAAAATTAAATAAAACCACTTCTAATAAAGAACAAGCACATGGTCTTTTTTAATGAAATACCAATGGTTATATAGGCTAATTATGCATTCTTTATAGCAACTTGTTGACCACATTCTTCATTCTTTCAAGCAGACATATTTATTTGTATAAATAAATTTAGATTAATCTTTAGGGCTACTGAAGTTTTTCAGTCAAGAGCAGTGCTGATTTTCTGTCTTTTGTTGTTTGATTAACATCAATGACTCGGACAATAGCAACTAAATTAGGCTGCTATCCCTTTAAAACCGAATGCACAGCTGCAATGGATGCAATGTAATGATACACGTTCTCCCTACTGTGTACGTTAAATTAAGACGTAATCAACCGTGTTTACGTGAATACTCATCAAAACGGACAATTTGACATCATTTTGTGTGTAATTCTCCGTTCATGCGGTGTGAAAGAGTACTCGTGCGCTGTGAGACGCGCTTTCTGTGTGTGTGTGCGCTCAGAAAACCGGACCGAATCGAGTTCTCTCTTGCATCATCAGATTTATCCATAAGTCTGCTCTTCTCTTACTCCCACATATTGACATTTGTGAACGTTTTATGCGATGTGCAGCAAGTGTATGTTAGCTTATGCCCTGCCGGTTCATCGGTTCATATCTAACCTCCAAACCACGCAGCAGATTCATTCTGAATGAATCTCTTCCCAAATCGTCCCTCCCTAACATTTTAACATTTTTTTTATTTGTTGATGAAAATGTCAATAGATTTACGTCATAGTTTTTGTAATTCAAAAAGTCTTTTAGTTGGTTATCGTCTAGTTGCCGTCAGTGAAAAAAATGCCGTTGACGAAAATTATGACGACAAATTATTCGTCAACGAAATTAACACGACTGAAATGCATTATGGGTAGTGTAGTTTGGAGAAATTTGCTCATGCCACGTGTGATCTCGCTGTGCTGTGTAATTCAGAAATGGAGAAAGAACATTTATATTCTGCTTTTATTTCAGTTCATTCAGGTCAGTCCACCCAGGGGTTTTTGTGCACTGTAACTTTGACAACTTTTATCTGCACGAGAGAGTAAAATGGCATGGATTGGCTAACTTTGTCTATCTCATCATTGCAAGAACATGAATTAACAAGCTGTTACGCTGCCGCTAGGACTGATGAAGTGGAGAAAGTAACAGCAGTTATCAAATAAGTAAATTAAGATATTTGCTCAGGTGTGTGCTGGGGTCTTATCTATCGGATTGCTAGATTTAGTCATAGTCTTTGACTAAAATGCCATTTAGTTTGTCATATTTTAGTCATCTGAATTGTTTTTAGTTTTAGTCGACTAAATATCATACGATTTTAGTCAACTAAATCTACAGTAAATTTAGTCGGCTAAAATCAAATGGGTTTAGTTACAGTGCATTTATTAAGCATTTCTCTAAAATTTCCAAACTCATTATATAGGTTTGATATTAAGGTTTTATCATGATAGGCACCGATTTAACTGCGGTGACGCACAACCTTTAAGTTAAAATTAAATAAAACCACTTCTAATAAAGAACAAGCACATGGTCTTTTTTAATGAAATACCAATGGTTATATAGGCTAATTATGCATTCTTTATAGCAACTTGTTGACCACATTCTTCATTCTTTCAAGCAGACATATTTATTTGTATAAATAAATTTAGATTAATCTTTAGGGCTACTGAAGTTTTTCAGTCAAGAGCAGTGCTGATTTTCTGTCTTTTGTTGTTTGATTAACATCAATGACTCGGACAATAGCAACTAAATTAGGCTGCTATCCCTTTAAAACCGAATGCACAGCTGCAATGGATGCAATGTAATGATACACGTTCTCCCTACTGTGTACGTTAAATTAAGACGTAATCAACCGTGTTTACGTGAATACTCATCAAAACGGACAATTTGACATCATTTTGTGTGTAATTCTCCGTTCATGCGGTGTGAAAGAGTACTCGTGCGCTGTGAGACGCGCTTTCTGTGTGTGTGTGCGCTCAGAAAACCGGACCGAATCGAGTTCTCTCTTGCATCATCAGATTTATCCATAAGTCTGCTCTTCTCTTACTCCCACATATTGACATTTGTGAACGTTTTATGCGATGTGCAGCAAGTGTATGTTAGCTTATGCCCTGCCGGTTCATATGTACGCATCTAACCTCCAAACCACGCAGCAGATTCATTCTGAATGAATCTCTTCCCAAATCGTCCCTCCCTAACATTTTCATCTCGTTTTTATTTGTTGATGAAAATGTCAATAGATTTACGTCATAGTTTTTGTAATTCAAAAAGACTTTTAGTTCGTTATCGTCTAGTTGCCGTCAGTGAAAAAAATGCCGTTGACGAAAATTATGACGACAAATTATTCGTCAACGAAATTAACACGACTGAAATGCATTATGGGTAGTGTAGTTTGGAGAAATTTGCTCATGCCACGTGTGATCTCGCTGTGCTGTGTAATTCAGAAATGGAGAAAGAACATTTATATTCTGCTTTTATTTCAGTTCATTCAGGTCAGTCCACCCAGGGGTTTTTGTGCACTGTAACTTTGACAACTTTTATCTGCACGAGAGAGTAAAATGGCATGGATTGGCTAACTTTGTCTATCTCATCATTGCAAGAACATGAATTAACAAGCTGTTACGCTGCCGCTAGGACTGATGAAGTGGAGAAAGTAACAGCAGTTATCAAATAAGTAAATTAAGATATTTGCTCAGGTGTGTGCTGGGGTCTTATCTATCGGATTGCAACGTATATCCATTTTGCTAATTAAACATTACACACAGTACACATCTAATTAGAGTTAAGCTAGACAGCGTGGTAGCCCAGGCTCACATAGTCATAACCCACTAGCGTTAAGATGGTCGGCGTGGTAGCCCAGGCACACAAGTTAGTAATACATGCGGTTCACATGGCTCTTCGGAGCAGCAGCAGTACATATGTCTTGGCAATAGATCTGCTTGTTGGGGGGTGTTCAGTGAACATCATAATAATATTAATAATGTAGTTTGTGTAAACGGCATGCTTGCTTTTTTATTTCAGATGTGAGAATAACAGTGTAAAAGAACCTGTTGCAAAGAGAGCCAAAGCAAAGCAGCCCACTTGGTCATTGAAATGGGGATTCCTGCCTGCACAAGAACCTGGACCACAGCTAAGACCATGTGATGCACACACTCCCATGAGTTATTTTATGTGATTGTTATATGTATTCTAAATAAACTACAAACAAAAAATATATACATTTATTTTTTCCTCACATTCTTTCTTGTACCAATTCCCTCTCAGTCACACACCTGACGGCTCATTATGCAGCTCATTATGCAGGCCTTTGTCTTCTCAGGTGTGAATCACAGCATTATTCATGATCATTCATGCCTACTCGCATATACCTTTTCTACACAAAAAGTGTCTTAGAAAATTTAAATCAATATATTGTTTTCTGTGAATGAGTGAGTAAGATGATTTTCTCACAATTTTGAAGCAAAAACTCTAGACGTCAAGATCAGTTCTCAAAAGTCTTGTGATCAAATGTTTTATGGCCTTATTTCAGTGACTTTAAAATTTTAGTTTTTCACTAAGCACACATAACATCTCAAAAACACAATCACGTACATACATGCTGCTCACATATTATTGTAGCCCAGTTTGTGCTGATTACAGTGTTATTAAACTTTAGACATTCAAATGTTTGTAAGCAACTGAAAAAAGTACAAATGTCAGGGCATGTCAAAACTTTTCCAGGCCCCAAAACACCCTCGGACCCCAGAGGGTTAATAAACTTATCCTCCACTGATGCCTTATATTTCCTTTTTGCCCTCCTAATTTCTCGTTTTACTTCCTTATTTACCTGACACTTTTCCAAATTTGTACCTTGATAAAAAAAACATTTCTTCTTATTTAAAACAATGATTTTGTCACCCAAGGCTTATTTTAATTTATTTTTCCTAGGTATCACAGACTCTTCGAAAAGGTGAATATAAGAATTCACAACATCAGCTAACTCTATCTACACTAAGTTTTAAACATTCGGTGCAATCAAAGTAATCTTGTAGCTGTAGGATGTTTTCATCAGTCCATCTTTGAAATGACCTAATGACTGGTTTTGCTCTCTGCAGCACTGGTTTGTAGCTTGGTTGCAAAGAGACTGCATTATGGTCCGCACAACCAATGGGAGGTCTAGGAAAGGATCTATATGCACATGGTTTTGACCCATAACATAAATCAAGTGTTTTATGATGGTGTGTAGGACAGTCGACATAGTGCTGAAAATGTAAAACTCCCTCCAAAGAACACTTGTTAAAATCACCCATAATAAAATGGGGAGCATCCGGTGAACACAATTGATATCGATGCACCGCTTGACTGATTATCTCCGTTGCCTTCTGAACATCAGACTTTGGATGAATGTATACCACTGAAATAAAAAGTTGCTGAAATTCTCTTGGCAAATAGAAAGGCCGGATACAGTCAATAATGCTATATCTGCGGTACACATTTTCTCACGCACAATCACTGTCTTTGCCCGTCGATTGTTCACATACAGACAGACACCTCCTCCTTGAGACTTCCCCTGTGACTGAAGGGTCACAGTCCAGCTGTAGAGGTACCCCAAAAACCATCCAAAGACAGATCAGTGTCACAATCATTCCAGTTTAACCAGATCTCTGTTAGTGCAATCATACAAGCTTCTCTGTACTCCCATAGACAGTGCACATTTGCTTGCAGTTCATTTATTTTACTTCGTAAGGATTGCACATTCGCGAGAATTTTGCTGGGCAGTGGGATACGCTTGAACCCCAACTTTTTTTTAACTTGAGTCGTATTCCACCGTGTTTCCCCCTCTTCCTCACCTTAATATTAAAATCAAAATTTTCATACATTGTATTTCCTTGCAAGTCCTTACTACAATTAGGGGTTGCACTGACTAATCCACTAGTCGACTTCAGTGCTCTGCCATGACGCTTTAAGCTTGACGTCGACTAGTCGCTGGTCTTAGAGGGCGCAACAGGATAAGAAATCTTTGAAGGACTTCCACATTTACGCTCTGTTTCCAAACAGTTTAAATGACAAATAAATGCATACTCTGAAAGCACTCCACAAGACATGTGTGATTATATTAATGGATGCTCGAAATTGAATGGGAGAATGCACATTTTAAACAGTTTATGGTATAGGTAAGTTAATCGTCGTTCTAATCTAATGCGCTGCTGCACTGTAACTCACACACATAGGCTACAGACAGTAGCATACATCTCGCGCAGATGCACACAGAATCATTCAGCACGGAAATGTAGGGGAGAACCTATGGGATTACATTTCTGCACACGAAAGATCATATTTTGAGCGCTCAAAAGTGCATTTTGCACGTGCGCGATCTGAGTTTTGTGGAGAAAACGTTCGTTTCGCAAAGAAAAAAGTGTTTGGAGCGCACGAAAATCAATTTTGCATTTAAAATAAGTTTTTGGATATGTGCAGACCTTCTCTTTAGCGCGTGCAACGTTTCACTAGCTTGCTCACCTGATGCCCACCCTCAGTGTTCTCTAAATACCAACAGCTTGCATGCTCAAAACAACCTACCTTTACAATGTGCCATAATTCCAGCCAATCAGAGACGAGGCTGCTAAATTCTGATTGGCTGCCTTGACAACCAATCACAACATTCCTTGCATTACCTCGACAGCAGAAGAGGAAAAATACAGTGCATGCATAATTATTATGCAAGTTTATATTCTGGTTATATTTTTTTCCAAGCACATTTGACCAATTCCAAACAACATTAATCTTAATAACCACTATTAATCTTGTATTTAATCACTTATAATATATATATATTATTATTCATGAAGGCTGGAAGTGAAAAATGCCTTATATTCAGGTGTGCATAATTATTAAGCAGGTTATTATGAGATCCTGTACTTCTGGAGACTCCAGGTAGGTTGCAGTTCTGGAAAATGGTGGCGCTGGAGACTAAATGGTTCCTGGTGATTTCACACCTAATTCTTCACCTTAATTCCTAATTCTTTTGCAGTTAGCATGCATCTTTTCTTCTCCAAATGTTTTTGGCTGACCCACTGAGCATTTTGCTGTCCAATGGTTATGCATTAACCATGCATGGTTAATGCCAAGCGATTAGTCAACAGAAGATACAGACGGCTGCATGTGAGTGTTTTGCGTAATACTTGTTTATAGATCTGCTGTTGGAATTATTACTTGCTGCTAGGAAGGAATATTTCGTTTTCTGTCTATTTCTACGTTTGTATTTTTGATTGCACTTTCTGGTAATTATAATAATTGCCCTCGGCTAAGAAGGAGCGCGTGTAATTTAATTGCTCCCTTCCTGCGTTTAAGTGCGAACTGTAGTTTCGATTTGAGGAATTGCCCTGCTATAGACTATTGGCTGTGCTAATTAGAAGGCGGCCACAGCGACTGTAGAGTATTTAAACTGCTTGGTCACTACATTGTCTATTCGCCGACCTTAAGCCACCAGCATGTCCCGTTCCACCAGCTTCAATAAAACAAATGTGACTGCTTTTTATAACAACCTGCAGACAGTTTTTGCCCGCTACCTTTTTGAAGCAAAGGACATTTGGAACGTGGAAGAAACCGGTAAAGTTTACAATTCATTAAAACTAAAAAGCTAGAGTGATTCAGTGGTTTAAAATACACGAGACAAATTCATTGCTATATAAAATTTAATAACAGATATAAACTATAGACCTTGATATACATACATACTGTAGCCTATACAGATAAATATATAGTTTATAAAACTATGAGGTGAATAAATATGTAATTATATAAGAACACTACACACACACCTAGCTAAAATAAATACATATACAAATAAATAAATAAATAAATACAGATATAGAGATAAAACAATAATGAAAATAAATATGTAACTATATACAAACACTAACTATACACACACACATCTAGGTATAAACACCTACAAATGTTCATGAAAGCTTATCAAAGTTTATAATTCATTTTCAGGTACCAGTGCCAGGTAAAATAATCGCCACCAAGGGGAAGCGCCAGGTCGGTGCAGTGACCTCTGGGGAGAGGGGGACATTGGTCACCATTGCCCTTGCAGTAAATGCACAAGGCAATTGCATTCCCCCGTACTTCATCTTTCCCAGGAAGAAGTTCCAGGACCACTTTGTGAGAAATGGTCCCATTGACTCTGCTGGTTCTGCAAATAGCTCAGGCTGGATGCAGGATACAGACTTTCTAGCCTTTCTCCAGCCCTTTGCCAGACACACCCGTGTGACCCTGGAGTCGAAGGTGCTTCTCCTCCTCGACAATCATCGATCACACCTTTCTGTGGCAGCAATTGACTTTTATCGGTCAAACGGCATAGTCCTCCTACTATCGTTCCCCCCCCACTGCTCACATCGTCTCCAGCCACTTGACAGGAGCGTCTTCGGTCCACTGAAGCGATATATAAACATGGAAGTAGATCACTGGATGAGAACATGCCCTGGAAAAACTTTGACCATCTATGATGTTCCAAGCCTAGTGGCCATAGATCTGCCACGAGCAGCGACACCCAAAAACATAACATCTGGCTTTGTGTCCACGGGCATCTGCCCCTTTAACCCAGATATTTTTTAGGAGCAAGACTTTTCACCTGCCTATGTCACTGACCGCCCTTCTCCTTCACTGGTACCATGTGGTCCCACACCACATTCCAACAAACACCCACTCAGCCAGAGCCTGTGTGAGGGAGGGCTGCTGCCAGAGTATCCCGGTGGTTCAACCAGGGATGCCTGTTTAGAGTCTGCCATCCCATACCACCCAGCTGTCTGTTCAGGTAAGATAAAATAAGATAGAACTTGGTTAATTTGAGTAAAATAATAACTAAAATAGAATTGTACACGATAGTGATATTATTGTTTGTGTCTGCTGATTAAGCTGTCCCACCTGAAGAAGGGGGAAGATGTTTGCTTGATGTCCCAGTGGGGGCCGACAGGCACACTAGTCTAGGCCTGAGTTCCAGGACTTCTGTCCAGGCATTCATTCTAGAAGCTGTACGTCCCTTTCCTAAGGCTGGTCCAAGAAAGGACATAAAACGAAGAGGCAAAAGGAGGTGAGTGGCATTTGGTTTTTGCTTTGTCCTGAGTAATTTCTTAATACATGCTGCCTGCTACCATGTGGACAGAGAATGAGCAATAACTGCCTGTAAATTTATACAAATGTTGACAACAATTTTTCTCACTTTGAATGTTGCAGGTCAACGGCGATCCTCACGGACTCTCCTCATCTTCGCCCTCTGCATAAAGTAAATGTCAGATCATACCAAGAGGGTACCGTCAGTGCCGAGAAAAGTTGCCTTACCAGTTCCTCTCCAGACAGATTTTACCTGAACAAACCTGTTGTTGGGAACCGTGTCATGCTCAAGGTAGTACCTGTGCATGTTCATTATGAAGACCGTACTTTAGAAACATTACCCAGCATTCTGAGTCACTTACCAACAGATGCTCAAGCTGAGAGTTTGGAACTTTGGTTAGCTCAAGACAAGTCGGATGTACCAGAGTCAACCTTAGGCTTAAGCTGGAACTGTCAGACTGATACCCTAGCGTACAAGCACCGACCTGTTGTATATGAAACTCCCACCCTCAGGAACATCTACAAGGTCCTAGCCACTCAATATGACCCTCTCGGACTTCTTTTGCCCTACACCACTCGAGCCAAGGTCATAATTAGACAACTATGGAATAAGCAGCGGGGTTGGGATGATCCAAACTTACCACCTGAACTCTTGCAGTCCTGGCGCGTCTGGGAGAATGAACTTCAGTACCTGCCAAGCATCACCCTCCCTAGGACTTATGTCCCTCCTGAGGTGGAGAAGGATGGTGCCATACATGAAGTCCACATATTTTCAGATGCTTCAGAACAGGCATATGGAGCTGTGGCATACATGAGGACCACTGACAAAGGTGTCGCTATGGAAACAAAGACGCCAAAAATCAATCACTGCAAATGAGCTTCTCTAATACTTCTTATGAAATTTATTTAATTATAATTGCTATTTGTATTATCCACCCTGCAAAATCCTTGGCCTTTGTAAAATACGGGACAAATCGCGCCCCGTATCTATTTGATAAGGAATGCATAATTTTACCTTTAAATTCCGTATTTCCGTATTTTAAAGGGTTAGTTCACCCAAAAATGAAAATTCTGTCATTAATTACTCACCCTTGTGTTGTTCGAAACCCGTAAGACCTTCGTTCATCTTTGGAACACAATTTAAGATATTTTTGATTAAATATGAGGGCTCTCTGACCCTCCCATAGACAGCAAGGTAACTACCATGTTCAAGGTCCAGAAAAGTACCAAGATGATCGACAAAGTAGTCCGTGTGACATCAGTGGTTCAACTGTAAAGTTACGAAGCTACGAGAATACTTTTTTGCGCAAAGAAAACAAAAATAACGACTTTATTGCGTCACTTGTGGACACACGTTCACAACAGTATCACGACGCGAGCGTGTGGTGGCGCTGACCCAGATCCGGCATTTATCATTATACTGTCGTGAACACGCATCCAAAGTGACGCAGTAGAGCCGAAAATGCGAATCAAAAATATCTTAAATTGTGTTCCAAAGATGAACGAAGGTCTTACGGGTTTCGAACAACACAAGGGTGAGTAATTAATGACAGAATTTTCATTTTTTAGTGAACTAACCCTTTAAGGGATGGGTGGCAACACTATGCTATGGTAACATCTTGGATTTATTACTGTTACACTCTTTTGTTTGGTGTTCCTGAAAAGCAACCTCACCGATTGCAGTTAATTTCAAGTTAAGTTCTTTTGGTGCTAGAGCCTTTAGTTGTGGAGCGCCAAAATTGTGGAATTTCGTTTTACCCACTTTTAGTGACTTATCACTTCAGTGCTTAACTGAAGCACAGCTAAAAAGAGTTGGCATAACCCGGATATTGGCTTATTTCATGTCAGAGTGACTGTCAAGTATGTCCAAAATTTATTTTTGAGTAACTTTGTGGATCAGTCAGTGCTTAAGTGGTGACTCAGTCTGTGAACTGTTGCAAACAATTCAGTCCGATTTGGTGAACTAGTTCAAAAGAACAATTCGTTCACAAACATCTGCATAACTAAATCTGTTGGATGAAAGCTTTTTCAAAGGTCAGCTGCACAAAAGCAAAGTCTTCTGTGACAGAAGAAAAAGCAGGTACAAGTGAAACACTGTCTTTCGGGACCATTCAGCAGTGTTCTTAAGCTGTTATCACTATAGACCTCATTACAGCTCAGGTCATTACAACATATCATTTGTTCAGTCTTTCCCCTGTTAACAGTTGGCAGTTAGCTAATGCCTCAGACACACTGATTTCTTTCCAAACAAACATGCTTATTACCAATTAAAAGGCTAAATAGAAGGTCTGTTTTAATAATTAATGACAGTGTTAATTACTTTCACCAAACCTAAGGAGCCACCAAGGCTTAAAGCCATTCCGCAGGTAAACAGCTAAGCGAATCACAAGGGATGAGGTTACAATTTGATTGGCATATTACCTAACAAAGACTTTGTAGAATTGTTGTTCTGAACATGATGTTTTTATGAAATCACTTGAAAAAGCTGTATTCGTATTAATTGAGTCTAACTATTGTATTGTGCACACAAAACAATAGATGTCTCATATGTGGCTTATCACCTGTGATCTCGATTTATCTCTCAATCTGTATTGTCTATTTAGGGTTGGTTTCCTCATATTGCATCAACAATAAGATATTTGCAGTACGCAGTGAACTTAATATTGTCACTCATCAAAACCAGTAATTGCATTAATAGAAATCACTGTAGTGCACATACAAGCCATCAGTGGTAGCAAACAAACAAACAGATTTGATCCCTGTAATTGTAAATTATGTAAAGAATGTTTCTTTAGTAATTAAGCAAATCATCAGTGAAAAGATATGCCTAACAAAAAAAATAAAAAAAGAATATATGAGCAAACTATTATATAAGACAAACTATTACGTTTTATTTTCCATTCACTTTGAGGAATGTAAATTTTCAGCTCTTACAAAAGTTCTCTGAATATGAATGAAAACATTTGCAATGAACATTTAATATATAGCTGTAAAAAATTATATGCCAGGGTAACAGTTGCAAATTTAGCATAAATGAAACTGTCAAAGTGTTCAAAGTTCAAAGTGCCACATGGGCATTTAGCTCTTAATTTGTTAAAGCTATTGCTGATTTATTCACCATCTTTCATATATGTACAATGTTTATTTGAATGAACTTGCTTTCTATTGACAAATTGCTTTTTGCCACAAAACCGTTTGGGCTAGAATTCACCAACATGTTGTCCCATTGGTGTCCATGGACTATTTTATGGACAGTCCATGGACATTAATAACCCTAACCTAATCAGTATGTATCTAATTAGGAAATAAATGGGCAAGTTTTTGTTAAAGGGTTAGTTCACCCAAAAATGAAAATAGCCTGTGTTTTACTCACCCTCGAGGTATCCTATGTGTATATGACTTTCTTCTTTTAGATGAATCCAATCGAGTTATTTAAAAAATTGTCCTGCTATTCCAAGCTCTGGGTTGAGTCAACGGGTGTTTCTGTTGAACAGTCCACAAGGCGCACATCCATAATAAAACGTGCCTCACACGGCTCACAAGAAAAATATCCATATTTCAAACGTAATAAACACTTTTCTATCACTTCGGTTCAAGTTCCGGCGGATGACTTAGGATGTCGGCATTGCATGATTAGTGACGAATGCGGAGAGAGAACAAAACAAAACGCCGGTCATGAATTAGAAGTACAAACCGAGGATTTGTAAAGAAAAATGTTCGATATAAGCTAAGAGGAGACTGGTTTTCCTTTGCTAAAGTAAGGAAACTTTGCTTCCTTTGCTTCTATAAACAAACTCGCGAGATTAGCATCTCAGAGGCACGCGCTGCGTATACCGCGTATGACAGATAGTGAGAGAAAAGTGTTTATTAAGTTTGAAATATGGATATTTTTCTTGTGAAAACGCATGGATTCGCTACAGGAGGCCGCTTTTCACCCTTTATTCAGTACATTAAGTTGCCACTAGAGGGCGTAATCTTCAAATACATTTGTAGAGGCCTCTAAACCCAACATTCCTGTACTGTGAATGAAACAAAAATCATCATATTACCCCCCCCCCCCCCCCCCCATCTACACCTCTATCTGCAGCATCAATATCACCACACAGTGCTTCAAATCAGCATCTCTATGCTGAAATAAAGAGAAGAACAAAAACCCTACAAGGCTATAATACAAAATGTATGCACAAAACAAAGTAACAATAATTGGGCACCTTTTAAAAGTTACACAAAGAACTGGTGCTGAGGTAGACAATACAAAAAAGTAAAGCACGACAAATGTAAAACCATTTCGACACCAAGAACACAGTCTTGTCACTAGAACAAGGCAAATGGAGCGAAAATGGCCGTTTGGTCCCACGTGGATCCTCAGTCCGAGTATTAATTTGTGTAACAATGGCACAAATATGGGCGCACTGAGTGACATGGCTACTTCCTGTCTGAAAGCAAAGTAAAACACAGTGATACAGCGGCAGGGATGCCAAGTTTTCACTTACATGCTGACCTGTAGATGTATTGCTTGTGGCAACCGAAAAAAAAGTAGCTGAAAGCGGTTACAAAACTAAACGTAGTTTCCATAATGGCAAAGAAAGTGTAGTGTTTATCCTAAAATGTATATCTGTGATGTTCTGTGAGTAAAGTGAAGGCATCCCTGATTGCCTAAGAGCACAGTTCATATCAAGGTGACTTTGCATAAAGACACAAATACAGGGCAGAAGATGTATCAAATCATTTACAGGGTGTCTGTCAGAGCAGCTCTTTGTTGCTAACCGGTGCATGTATTTAACACTGAATAAGTCGACCACATTGACTCACACTGCACACACAAGGACCAGTACAGACCGTATAGGTGACTCTAATCTTACAGTGAGCGGTGAACACGATACAAACACACAGATACAGCTTTACTTTTCATGTCTTACAGGTCGCTTGTGCTCCATGACCTACAGCTCTTGGCGTTAGTTCACTCACAGTAATTTTATACCCAAAATGTGGAATCATCATCATCATCATATGAATTGACACCCAGCAGCAATGACTACAATATGTCTTTACATACATCTACTACTTGTATATGTTTAACATTGCAAAATAAGCACAAGAAAACAATTTTCCACTCAAATCAAGAACAAGCACAAATGCAAAAGATACTGTAAAAATATTCGCCTCACTCAAAATAAACAAAAAAGAATGGGTCGCACAATACCCCGTACAAGAATACAACATATTCCCTTATCAAAGTGCCACGTTTGGCTCTTGTCGAGAGATTTATTTTCACAGAAAGTCACCTATTCGTTTTTGTTTTCTCTAGCGAACTTCCCCACGTAACTGCACGCATCAGTACCGCATCTCTGATGACTTACCGCTTGAATAATTTTCACATAAAAACATCATTTTTATTCACATTGTTTCAAGTTTATGCCCTCAAGTATCTAATAACTAAACATTTTCTCAACGCTATTCTAAAATCATCTAGAATGTATGCATCTACCCTTTCAGGTTGAATATGTTTCATCGTAAGGAGTGTAAATATAATAACGAACGAACCGGGCTGTTTTTTTCTAGCGGATGGAAACATGAGATTGGGGCATAATTGAAAATGCTAGTTACAAGCAAAACAAAAGTGTGCTTTTGCTTTAGTGCAAAACTGAGAGCAGAGTAGAGGTAGCCCTGAAACAGATGGCCGAGAGGCAGATATGCACACTAGTACTATGCTTACTGATAAAATACCACTGAATAATTCACAGACCCAGACGTAATTTAAGATGTGGTCACAATAGCCAAATTTCACAGTAAATATCACGAGCAAAAAATGTTCACTCTGTCAATACTGTAATGATGGGAAGACCCCGAGGTGGTGATTTTCGAATGAATGCATAAGATGTTATTCCTATGAAAACGTATGATTTTTAGAAAATAAACATAAGCATGAGGGTCCATCCCTAAACATAACCATCAGTGGGCCTTAAGCAGATGAAGCACGGCTCACACAGAAGTCACTTTCAAACCATCTTTCTGTTGGTCAATGAGGCAAATTCACATGACCAAGTTGAACCCGTTGCAAAATCTGCGAAAGTGGAAATCTTTTGCCCTCATGTGAAACTCCTGATTATGTAGATTCCTATTGAAAAGATTGGATTTCCAACCCGATCTCATGCCAAATCGTAACTATTTTATGTTACTGATTTTGTATGAATTCGTACGATGTGATTTGTTACGGAAATGGACAATTGTTTAGAAAAATACGTAAGCATGAAGGTCCACCCCTAAACTTTACCATCAGTGGGGTGTAAGCAGATCATACAAAAATTTATAAATAAGATGTACAAATTTACATGAATAATTAGTCACAAATTTGCCAGAACATAAAATAGTTACGTATTGGCATGAGTGTGCATTGTAATTTTGCCTGTTGAAATTCACCAAAGGCAAATGTGACCACGCCTTTACTGATTTTTTAAGAATACTCCAGTAGTGCAGAAAAGATTTAAAAATAGTAAAACACTTTAAATGTAAAGTACTACAGTCTTTTTGATAACTAAAACATTTACTAGTTAACCAAAAACATAAACACATAAGTGGCAGATACATAGAATGTTGCGAACAAACGTTCCAATTCTGCTTAGATTTTGCGGGATCTCTCGAATTCTGTGTGGGACTGATGATGTGGTATTCTGAATGCATTGTGCAGCTTTTAAACAAAGCTCAGCAGGAAATGAGGGACAAAGACTAGTACAAAAATAAATCATGTGCGGTAACAAAATTAGGCAATTCAAGTAAAACGTTCAAATAGAGATGACAGAACACAAACTAAAACGGCGAGCTAACTAAAGGAATTCTCAGCAGAAGACTGCAGAAACATATACTGCATTGTGTTTTTTAATTGTAAAAAATAATAATATGTAATATGAAAATAATTCATAAATTGATTTCCGAGTATGATATTAACATTTCATTAGACTATAATGCCTGCAGTTGCAAAACTGTGATTTTGTCATGTTACCATGTGAAAGTTCAAATAAAATCAACTGACATGCTGTATTATTTGGTGTGAAAGTGACTGAAATGAAAGCAAATCACAGAGATTCACCTCTCTGGCTTCGTCTGAATGCACTAAATGCAGAATGTGGTGCTGAAAAAAACAAAAGTGGGCCTCTGAAACTCTGAAAGTGCACAGTGTAGTTATTTAAGGTTGAATAAATGTCCCTGAACATCCACTATAGTTGCTTGGCAGCACAATTTGGATGTACCTCTGAGAAAAGCTGTTTTGTTAAGCACTTTATTACGCTTTAAAGAAAATGACTCTTGGGTCCAATCCTGTGCATTTCCTCGCAAGTATTTAAGTATATAAAAAATTTTTTAAAACATGAAAATTGAGTACTAGAGAACCTAATAATGAACTTAAGGGAGCAATTTACTAAAAAAGGGCATAATTTCATTCGCTAATGTGTTCAGCTCTATTTCATCATGTGTGTGAATTTTAAGCTTTGGTCCACGTTTTTATTTGACTCCGAATAGCTCCATTTAGACCCCATGAAATCAAAATATGAGGCTTTGAGTCCATGTGTGTGAGCTTTAAGGTTGCTAGCGTATTCTAAACGTTGACCTTTCGCGGATATGCATTTAAAATCATGGTTGTGATGCAACTAAAGACTATTGGATGATCCCTATGACATTCCCCACCACTTGGAGATTTCATGGGGTCTTGAAAGTCTATGGCTTATGGGTTGTCCATGAAAAAAAAGTGCGGGAATCCTTATTTGAATAAAACATTACATAATGATCATGCAGTGAATTTCTCCAATTAATAGGGTGGAATGCAGACAAATGGATTCTCGTCACACTTTCAGAAAATTCGTATCCCTTTATCACATATCACATTTTATAAACATTTGTGAGTGCAGTTACATCCTAAAAATGTGCACAAATGCATGTCACAAACAGAAGGTCAAAAAAAATCCACATCACATTTCATTACTTTGACCACGCCCTCTCACCATCTTTGGCTAGGACCAAAAGCAAACCTTCAAGTGAATTGTCTTTGGGCGTATCTTGCCACTTTCCCATTCAGTTTTGTTGCCCTGTCTCACACGTAGCAGAGGTACAGGTAGGTCTTCTCTATCCTCCAGTCTGGGGGCACGTCCTCGGGCTTGTGGGCCTTCATGTGCTTCTGCATGGACGAGAGGCTGGGGCAGTACTCCTGGCAGATGGTGCACTGGTAGGGTGAAGCGCCGTTGTGGGTACGCAGGTGTTTGATCATGGCGGAGTAGTCCCTCGAGCGCTGGTGGCACAGCTTGCACTCAAACGGCTTCTCACCTGTAGAGAACAAGTACAGAACATTTCAAACTACCAATCATGTGAAAATGACAGAACCCGCTGTGTTGATTAAAGTCAGCATGAAATGGGAATCACAGCTCATTTTACTTCCATAATATGATGGATAATGTTCGGATCTATGAATTTATTCCAGGGTTATTACTAAAAGTAAAACTAAAATCATATAAGAGATTTTTGTTACTTAAAATAAAATAAACAAAAAATAATGGTAATAATAAAATGTAAATTAATTAAACAATTAAAAATGACAAAAATACACACAAATTTATTGTATTTCATTACTTAAATGTTAACTGAAATAAAAAATTATATAAAAAACATCTTATTTCAGCTAGTTGAAATAAAATAATTAGACATTTCTCATTTACGTCAAGTTTAACTGGTACTACAATAAATAAATATAAACTATTAACTATGCAGAAAAAAAATATTGAATGATAAAAATGCTAAAAACAGCCAAATTTGTAAAACGAATTAAAAACTAATAACAGAAAATATATAAATAAAATCTAATTCAAAATACAACTAATAAAAACACATTCACAGTTTTCACAGTAAAAACGAATAAAAAAACCTAATGATAAAACAATGATACTGAAATAAAACTGATTTCTGCATTTAAAAAAATGCAATTCATAGATACAATGACTTAACCACCTATGCTGTAATGAACATCTAATAATTTCTGAATTAAAATTATTTTTTATTTTTTAAAATGAAATTCTTGAAAAGAAAACCTTTTAAGCAGTTTCTTTGTTTACCATTTCTCAGAAAATGTTTAAAAATATAAAAAAATAAACAAAACTGCCTCATTGCTTATTAATTTGAAAAACATTTCTTAAAGTCATGAAATTACATCACAGAGAAACACAAAACTGTGACAAGGTCAATAAGACTCTTAAAATATCAGATAATTTGACCCTTTTATTTTAATTAATAGTTTGTGATATTTCTAAAACATACTTTTTATCTTGAAAAATGTATTTAAAAACTTTTTTTTTTTAAATGTTCAATGAAAAAAAAAAAAAAAGACTGGCCAATACTGATGAAAGGTTATCATGATAGCAAGATTCTAGATTCTAGATTTCCCATACTAGCTCTGCTTCCTGTCTGATAAGGTGAAGTTAAGATGCCACCTGCTGTCCAGGACAGGAACGACAGATGTGTAGAGCCGTGGATGTGTGCCTGCCACTGAGCACAGCAAACAGAGTATTGATCCACCATTGACAGCAAGTGTAAATGTCAGTGATTCTCCGGCTGGTTGTGTGAAGGAGCAGTGGCCTTTCAGCCGAGAGTTTCTGCTCTTGTTATCTTCACCTGCCCGGTCTCATGGCTGCAGCCCCGCTTGACACAAAGACAGCAATTATTTGACAGGCCTCCTGATAGGTTTGCTTTAGCAGCTGCCTTATTGAGTGCCAGAGAGCAGCAGCAATCAGCCTGTAATTCCAGCTCAGCTGAAAGATTTAATATGCCATCATGACAGAACAAAATAGATACAAGGAATTTAATTTAGCGTGGACCTGAAAATGTCAAGATCTGAATTCTTCAGTGTAAAACTGTGACCTTATAACGTAATACAATTCATTTATCATTTTATAAAGCTGTTGCCTTGTTTTACTATATCATATTTGCTAGAAGACACCATGCTGGCGTGTCAAAGATATCTAACTTGGAAGAGCAGGTCATTGTGTTTCCAGTGTGTATTTATTAACCTGTGAGCTTCTACGGCTTTGGGAATCACTGTTAAAAGTGAAGCGGTCATCAGCTGGACCGCAGGTCTGTGCAGATGAGGTGAAATGCTATTTAAGCTGCAGAATGAATGTGGCTGACCTGTGTGGACGCGGTAGTGGGTCTCCAGCTGATGCTTGAGGCTGAACTTCTTGCCGCATCCGTTACATTCATAAGGCTTCTCTCCGGTGTGGATGCGCTTGTGACCCTTCAGTGTGCTCTCGTCACGGAAGCAGCTGCCGCAGAACTCGCACTCGAATGGATGGTCACCTGTCGTGCAGAGAGACAATGATAAAGTTATTCATCTGAATGCATTTTTAATTGGAAGTGGTGTTTTTATTCTAGAAAACATTAGATTGGAGAAAAATGGGCTTTTCATCCGTAGAGCAGGGAATTAATAATAAATAAAATAGACAATGGGACCAGTGTAGTGTGATTCACGAACAAATTACTCTCATGAGCCAGTTCCTTTTAGTGAATCACAACCGTACTGTGCTACCAGTGTACAGTGTTGAAATCCAGGGTGTATGACGTCATTGGCAGGCGACACAATGACACTATGGACACGGTCCGTGTCACTAGTTAAAATTGCTTATTTCTCTGGATTTAAACATTCTTCCAAACATTTGGGATAATGTAAGTACACAAGTCAGCAAAATACACTGAACAAAATTATAAACGCGACACTTTTGTTTTTCCCCCATTTTTCATGAGCTGAACTCAAAGATCTAAGACTTTTTCTATGTACACAAAAGGCCTATGTCTCTCAAATATTGTTCACAAATCTGTCTAAATCTGTGTTAGTGAGCACTTCTCCTTTGCCGAGAAAAATTTTTTCATCTAGTACTACAATTTTATTTCAATTAAATAATTTCAATTATTTCAAAAAATATATTTTTTTAATAGTTTTAGATTTTATAAAGCTTAAGAATAACAACACTGAATCAAATAGGAATCACAACAAATTTAATCAAATCAAGAGCTTCCTATGAACTGGAATTTAATTGAATCTTTATCAATACCTAGCTCTATTTGTACATGGTTTCTATATGGTTAAAGCTGGTCATTAGTTGTTCCAAATTGGTTTAGTTGGTTGACTAGTTGCACTCTCAGCTGGCGGGGGCTAAGAATGACCTGTTTAAGCTGGTTAACCACATTTCATAATATAACTTGAACTAGCTGACCACCTTAGTCTGGTATGACCTGGATTTTCCTGTCAATTCATATTAAACAACAAGACTAACATTTCCTTAGTGATCACAAAGAACAATTTATTTTTTCTGTTGTATTGTTGCAGCTTATAAATAAAAATAGCCAGTGAGTTGCGCTCAGATGACAGAGTTATTAATATCGAGTAAACATCACAAGGTGCTGAAAGGGAATTATCTGGCACATTTCTCTCCACTGGCTGTTCTAATGTCAGTGATCAGTACGAGTCTGATATGTGGTGATTTCAAACGCCGGCCGATTGCTAATTACTTTCCCGTTCTGACTAGCAGCCCCTCATATCATTTCCTCAGACAGCAGCGGCATATAACACTCGCAATATTTAATAAATTCCAGCCCGGGCGCCGTGGCTTTAAAGTAATCTGCGGTGACCTATGCTCTTCATTATCTCCCTGTCCAAGTGCTAGCCGTGCTCGGGAATAAATTGCATCTCTTGTTATGTTCCGTCATGCTCCGACTTAAACCCTCCTCTTAAGAGACAATGCAGAAATTACCTGAGCGCGTTCTCTAAGCCAATCGCAACCCGACATTCACATTCAAATACACTTCTGCCTGAGATGAATGGGTTTCTATCTGGGCTAAGAGAAAAAAAAGCAGACTGGGAGAGATGAGATCCCTAGTGAACAGATATGAGATGATAGATAGAGAGGCAGTCTTTATGCATCTGTATCAACTTATCCGATGCACCTTCTGAAAGCCCTCCAGCCTGTCTGTCATTAAAGTTAATTGCCCAGAGGCGGGCAGCAGGCAGGCCAGACTCACAACACCACAGGCATGCTAATGCGCTAACGCCGTCTACTGCGTGTGCATTCTGAACATGTCACTCGCACTGACTACACGTTGGAGGAAATATCCACAGGTATCAGCTTCGGTGCGTTTCAATGCTTGAATGTCTATTATTGTGCAGACAATGTCAAACTGGAAGTTAAACGAGGTGTCAAACACATGTTTAAGTGTTTATTGACAATAGTACATTTTAGGTTAGACACTACACTCTTAAAAATAAAGGTGCTTCATGATGCTATAGAAGAACCTTGTTGTCTAAATGGTTCCATAAAGAACCTTTAACATCTGAAGAACCTTTCTGTTTCCCAATAGGTTCTTTGTGGCGAAATAAAGTTCTTCAGATTACAAAAACGCAAGAAAGAGATGCTTCTTTAAAGAACCTTTGACTGAATGGTTCTTTGTGGAACCAAAAATGGTTCTTCTATGGCATCGCTTGAAGAACCTTTTGAAGCACCTTTATTTTTAAGAGTGTACTGTTCCATAATAAATAAAAAGGAGTGATTTTTACATAAGCATTGTTAAATATTGAATAAGCTTTGCCTTGCCTGACAAAATGGCTTAAAAAGTCAAGGCCGAGCGACCTGCAGAGAATGTCTGTGCCATAAGCAATGTGAGCTTTGTGCTCTGTACCATCAAACACAGCTGTGAACATAGACAGCCGCCACTGTCTGCAAATGGCCTGGCAGTGAAATTGAGAGCGAACAGGAATGGCATATTAATGAGAACAGGCTACATGTGCAGAATGAAGAGAGGAGCAACTGGAGACGCACGCAGCCCATTGTTTGATTTGCCCCTCACATTGTAAATACAATGCAGATGGTATGAAATATACAGGTAGGTACTTGTTGTGTTGGGGCAAATTACATCTAAGGTTCTTTTTTTATTTATTAGTTATGTTTTTGTTGTTGCATCATGAAATATTCCAGCTGAAAAGACTGGTAGAGCTGATGATTTATGCTGGTTAGTGCTGGTAGATCAATATCATTGTTGTTTTTTCTGATGACGGTGGCTGAGCAACGGAGGCTTTTTGGGTAAGCTAGTTAAGAAGCCCTGTAGTTAAACTACACTCTTAAAAAGAAATGTTCTTTATTCACATTGATGGTTCCACAAAGAACCTTTAACATCCATGGACTCTTTCCATTCCACAAAAGGTTCTGTATAGTGGAAAAAAAAGTTTTTTAGATTAATATAGTGTTCTTCAAACTAAGAAAAACATGGTTCTTTTAAGAACTGTTCACTGAAAGGGTCTTTAGGGAACCAAAAATGGTTCTTATGGCATTGCTGGAAAAACCCCTATTTGGAACATACTAGCATCCAAAGTCAGCATACATTGACATGAACAGTAACGGGCAAAGGTCTGGATTTACACTCACATCTCACACAAGATCTTTTGAATTTCTTGCTTTTTAAATAGCATTTTGATTAAATAGAGCAAATTGCGACCTAAAAATTGTAACCAAAAGTCAGAGACCTTCAATATGACCTAAAATATTTCTCATTAAATTCTTCCAAAACCAAATTGATATCTGATTTCTGTTTTCCACATAAAGAGCTCTCGTTAGAGCTCATACTGTATGCAACAGTTGTCTAATTTCTTTCTGCTTTTTTATTTTAGGATAAACATCTTAAGACTATGTTTATTTAAATGAGGTGCACCTAAGACTGTCAATAAGTCTCCTAAGTTTTGAAAGGATTTCTAAATTGCCAAAAATGTCAGGGTTTTGGCTTCGTTTTCCAATTGACAAGTTCTCTACAGTTCTCATACATTATATGTATGCATATTTGCATGGATGTGACCGTTCTCTGTAGATCCGATGTTATTGCACACCATGACTGGGCGATTATGTAAAATGCCTGCATGTTATTGGTCAGACTACTTTTCAGTTATTACCTTCAAAAAAGTATGAAATCAATAGGAAAACAAAACCCGGACATTTTAGGCAATTTAGAAATGCCGGCCAGGAAGTGTAAAAAGTATAAAACACCACAATTTTAGTAACTAAGTTTATGCCCACTTCTGTAAGTTGTTTTAAAACTCCTGCAATTCAAGTGAAGAAAAATAGCTACAGAAGTTGACATTTACTCAGACTCCGTTAGGAACGTCAGAATGTCCTTTCAGATGTTGTTCTGGAAAAACTCATGTAGCAGTCTGTGGCGAGATGGAGTGCATACTTAATGCCTCGACTCTTTAAAAAAACAACCTCGCTTCATTTCTGGCCTCTCTTATCAAAAATGTACATGTTGAGTCTAGACTTCAACTGACTCTGACAATCTTGCTGGTATTTCAGGTCAGAAAGAGCAAAAGCGAGAGAAAGATGCACTCTTGCAAGTAAATGGAGTAGGGGAGATTTTTGTGCTCTTTCTGTTCACTGCCAGACCATATGGATTTAATCATCTCTGTTTGCCTAGTTATGAAGGAAAAACAGAGATAACTGTTAAACATGCTTATACAAAAAGTACACTGATATAATCTGTTTTAACAAATTATAATGGGTGTCGATTCATATTTATTTAGTTTCTAGCAAATGTTTGCAGGAGCATGTTTAATATATTGTAATCCTACCTGTTGCAATAACAAGAATAAGAATGCACTTTCTCAGTGCCAGCTTACCAAATGTCCTTCTTCCACCTAAATCCCCTCTTTTTGTCATCGTTTTTGGGTCATTTGATAATTGAATTGTCACACTCAGAAATACATTACATTATGAGAATGGTAAAAAAGGTCAGGTTTGACCTACTGTCTGTAATAGAGGGGCTTGACTTAAGCTTAAAGTTACCCTGAAGGAAACGATGGGGAGAAGTGATGTAGAGAAAGAGACAAAAGACTGTCAGAAGATAGTCTGAGCCTCAGATGGGCCACCCACTGACTGTAGGGAGACAAAGTTTTGTTTACAAGTTACCACACTGAAAGAAGTCACTGGATTGACAAAGTCTGAGAGGTTTTTGGCTCTGAATATTTTTTCAGAAGAGGAGCTTGAGTAAGTTAAAGACACAATATCCATTATTTGAGCAAACGATCACTCTATTTGTTGCATGCCAGCCATGATAGCACTGCCTTTAGCATTAGCATTGACAATTTATGTGTCAGATATTAGGCCCATTTCTATCTAGGTGGGTGATTCTTTGGCATAAATGTGACGATATGTACCTGACTTTGTCAATACTCAAAAATCTGGCTTGTCTGAGGTAAGTAAGAGGTTTATATAACCCTAGCAAGACTATTTGAACTTGCTCCTCCTAAACTGTTTGAAACTTTGCCACATCTCAGCTTGTGGCCCGCTTGCCCTTTTCTGCATTAATGTGCTTTTAGATGACTCAGATATTGGCGGTTTGAGTGATGTTCAGGTAAAGCTCACCTGTGTGCAAGCGGAGATGGCGTTTGAGCGCTGTGTGGCTCGGGAAGGTGCGTTCACACTCGCTGCAGACATAGCTGCGCATGCCGGCGTGAATCTCCATGTGCTGCTGCAAAGCCTTCTGGGTCTGGAAACGCTTCCCACATAGGAGACAAAACACTGCCATGTCTGAGCCTGAAGATGAGAGACAAAATGAGAAGGCGTTTGGGAGTTCAATTAGTGTTTAGTGCAAAGAATGCATAATTTGGATTTTAGCCATTTTGCAGTTATGCACATTTTAGCAAAATGAATGAATAAGTATATATGTTTCATAATGGATGGGGTTAAAGAGACTTAGATGTATTGTCTTAGTTTCTCTTTTCTGCACAAAAAACAAACAAAACAAAACAAAACAGTGCTTTCAGTATCTATGGCCAATCAATAATGTATCTTTCAAGTAAAGCTGTCTCTAATTTAAAATCTTTGTGAAAGCCCAGTGGTGGGCTCGTGAACAGCAGGCTGGGATTGACTTCTCACTCAATCAATCAGCATTTACGACAGAGCTGAGAGTAAAAAAAGCATTAGTGCCTGAGACACATAAAAATGAACCTCTACACTTCACTGACAGCTCATCTGTAATGTGAGTTTTGTGTAAATGTACTCTGACAAGTTGCCCAATTTCTCTTCCATTCTCTCCAAGTTTAAGGGCCAACATTGATTACGAAGGGCCATTCAGGGGCCGGGAGAAGATATTCAACCTTGAAAACATTTTGACTAAGATCAAACATACAAAAGTAACATGTTTTATGGGTTAGGGTTATAAAAAAAATGTAAAAAGAAAAAGAAACATTTCAGATTCTGCACTTTTTCTAGGTCACTATTCAAATGTAATAAATTTGTGTCATTGATCTTTGTAAATATGGTTAGATGTTCTTACTTCAATAAAATAAAAGACATTTAGGGAATAGTAATGACAATAATAAAATAATAATTATTATTATTATTCCCTGTTTTACTTTATTTATAGGACAACAGCAACAACAACAACAACAAAAATAATAATAATTATTATTTTTATTATTGTAGTATTTTATTTTATTTTTTTGTTAAATAAGAATGCAAAATGGAAGCATTTTCATGGTCTCTTTTGGATGCCACCATAGCTCAAGAATCACCAAAAAAAAAGGCAGAAGAAATACATTCAAGGCAAACCTCGCTGTGAAATACTGCAGAAATACAAATGATGACACATTCTTGAGCTTCATTATATCAGACACATGACAGATATTTGTGTTGTCAGCTCTTTTCAGAAGAAAAAAATAACCAAGGCAATCCAGCAAAGGCATAAATATATGAGATGACTGTGGTAAAGTAAGAGAAAGCACGAGGGGAAGAGAGAGAGGGAGCTTAGCTTCACTACTGTTTAATGTCTTTAGGAATAATTTACCTCTACAACTCCAACTATTTATACCATCACTCAGTTCCACTGAGAGCATCCCCCTGCTTCTATTTTTCCTCCTTCTTCTCTCTCTCTCTCTGTCTCCCTCATTCTTTGTGTCTAGCTCCCAGCAGAGCTTTAATGGTTCTGAAGTGGCTGACAGAGTAGCTTAAGCCGGGTGAATAGGGCTGTTAATGGAGCCAGCTCCTCTCTCAGAGTGAGTGTCAGAGACTCTCCTCAGCAGCTGCTCTGCTCTGTTTCCCACAGACTCTGTTACCCACAGTACACCTCACCCAGACACACAACAGGAGAAAGAGCTGTGTCACCAGCTACTCCTGCATGTCAAAATGATGAGAGCATTTGAAAAAAGTAAGTGCCGACTGTGTTTTCCAACAAAAAGACATCAGGGTTGGGCAAAATATAGAGTTTAATAATCGTCTTACTTTCAATTCATGAATGGGAATGTGGATTGCACTGCCCACGTGCTATACAATTTTGAATTGGAAATACAGGAAGAGGAATTTAGTCAAATGCAATTAAAACAAAAATACATTTATGACAAGGGAATTTCTTAACCAGTTTTGTGATAAAAGTATCACGTTTTCCAAAAATTATTAAATTGCACGACTGTTTTCAACTTTGCTAATAATAAGAAATGTTACTTGAGCAACAAATCAGCATATTAGAATGATTTCTGAAGCATCATGTGACACCGAAGACTGGAGTAATGATGCTGAAAATGCAGCTTTGTATCACAGGAATAAATTACATTTAAAAAAATATTAAATTAGAAAACAGTTATTTTAAATTGTCATAATATGTCATAATATTACTGCATTTTTGATCAAATATATGTAGCCTTGGTGAGCATATAAAAGACTTGTTACAAAAACATTACACAATCCTACCAACCCCCAACAGTAGAGTATGTATAAAATAAACATAAAAACATATTAGTATTACATTAAATACTAATAAGAATGAGAAAACAAAATATAATGCATATTTTTTTAAATAAATGCAGCCTTGCTTAATTTAATGTTGTGACCAATCAGAATCAAGTATTCCAGAGAGCCGTGTAATAATTCACGAATTTCTGTAAAAAAATGTTTTATATCTCTGTTTTTGGTGCCTTTAAATCAAAAATATCAACTTAGTAAAACAAAATTCAGAGAAAATATATTGTATGCTATGATATAACACATATGGGCTTTTAGAGATGAAGAAAGGAAAAAATGGAGAGGAAAAGTTGAAGTTGGGTTGTTTGGCTCATTGTTTGTGAGTGGGGTCAGAGGTCAGGAGCACAGCAGGCAGATGTGAGAAGATAGAAAGGACCCACCTGTCCCAGAATGCAATGACGAGAAAACAAAAAATATCATTGAACACAGTAAAATAATCTCCAGATGAGATTGAGATGAGATGTTTCTTACATAAATGCTGATTATACTGTTGTGTGGATGTAAATCATATAGTACAAACAGGCCATTCCTTCATGAAATTTTTGCCAGTTTGCCAAAAAATTTATTCAAATGCTCCAGGATGAAATACTTAAGGTTAATCGTAAACATGATTGATAGTAATGGCAATGCAAACCAGCACCACTAATGAAGAAAAACTCAAGCAAATCATGTATTAACCATTTGGTTATTAGACATGGAGGTCAAAAGGCCATGAAGGCATATTTTTCTCTTTTGTGTCTAGGATATTCTTTTAGCCCTGCTCATGTAGAATTAATGAAGAAACACTCTCTTGAAGATAACACATTAATCATAAAGCACCCTTTAAAAATTCATATAAACCACAGACTCCTATTTTACATGCAGAGCCAGAGCCACCTTCCCACATCACACCTGGACTTTAATGTCAAAACTTTGTTTAAACAGATTATCTGGCGTAGAACCTCTTCGCCTCTTAAAACGAAAATACACAAGAAGCCAGAATGCTTGTTCTGGCCCAATATCATTTACAATGGAGAGAGAGGCTGCATGCATCTCCCCAATTCTTACAAATCCCCTTTAATCAGATATGAGAGGAACAGAGAAGAGAGCGCGGGGGGAGGACGAGCATTAGTAAACACGAGGCTGTTCGGTGCCTTCATTGGCATTCCAGTAGGGTTAGAGTGCTGCATTTAAAATGCTGCCTGATGAGGACTACAAAATCAAACCATTTGTTACCACTATTGAGGAGCCTGCAGGCAACAGGCAATTAAATTGGAATTAGTGCAGGGAGATCAGATACAGATGATTCACACACAGAGAGGGGGAGCTGTCAAAGCCCGAGTTTCATTTCGTTTGGAGGGGACAAATACTTCAAGAGTAAACACATTTATTCCTCTGGCTTGCAAGCTCACCAGCCGCAGCGAATATAACTCTGCCATGATTCCAAACTGGATACGATTTACTAACATAGACTGTAAATACAAAAAACAAACATGCGTCTCAAGAACAGAATAAACACATCATCACTGGAATGACTGTGCCAGCTCCAAATGAAAGCTGCAGTATAGCATTTTAACAGCACCAAATGAGAAAATAATGTCCCCTGTCTGCCACAGTTTGGGCCAAAGGTGCTCTAATATACCCTGAGTTGGCATTCCCATCATCTCAATGACTGTTGTTCAGCTGGAGCATGCAGATTTGGATGTATATGACTTCATTTCTGCCATCTTTGCTTCATGGGCATTTTTTATGCTTGTTTTCAGCAAATCACCTGAGATGCAAATGCCATGTGACAGATTATTCCGTGTTTAATCATTAGACTACCATGAAAAAATATGCATTATATATATATATATATATAGAGAGAGAGAGAGAGAGAGAGAGTTTATTTGCAAAAGCTGTTTTTTTTTTTTCAAAAATCATGTTTTTATTGTGTTAGTTAGCTGTTTTTTTAGTTATTTTTTAACCTAGTCAAAATAACCCAACTGCAGTTTGATTGACATTAATTGGAATGCACAATGAAAAAACATGATTTCTGAGAATTGTTAAAAACTGAGTTATCTGTATATACTACTGTTAAAGTTTGTTTCTGAAAGAAGTCTCATGCTCATCAAGACTGCAATTATTTGATAAAAAAAACAGTAAAAACAGCAATATTGTGAAATATTATCACAATTTATTTATATGTATATATATATATATATATATATATGTGTGTGTGTGTATATGTATATGTATATGTGTGTGTGTGCGTGTATTCTTGGCTGATTTCTCAGTCTCTATTGTATCTTGCTGTGTGCTTCATGTGTTCACATGACCCTTCACCTGTCATGCCACCCCCCCTCCCTCACTTTCTCAAGGATGTCATTTGCAGACGACAAACCGCTGACTGCTCGTACTTGTTAATAATCGTTAGAACAAGGAAAAAAGCCCCGTGTGACTCCACAAACAGTTGTGCCTAAAGCCCCTGCACTGGATTGCATTGTACCTACCGGCATAATTTATTCGGCAGGCCATCTGGACAGTGAGGGAACAATCAGGCTTAGAGTATGAATGCCCTGCTCTATTGTTTACAAGTCCACAGGTCCACCTCTTACTCGGCTAATCTGTGTGACTCCTCTGGCTTTTAAAGCGCACTGCTGCTGAGGTGGCTTTTCCACGACACAAGAGTCTCAGCAGTCCCTCATTAAGACGCGACAGCAGGATTTTGTGCATGGTTAATCATTAAAGACTTGATTCGCACACAATTACTGGACAATTATTAAATAGTTGGTGGAAAAAGATCAGAATGGTGACGAGAGAGAGAGTTTGAGGGCCTA